AATATTACACAGAATACAGAAAAGGAAATGATAAACTTTACTTGAAAATAAGAGCAGAAAGTATAAAAGGAGGACATTCCCACCTTACTTCACAACAACATTAGCAACAGACAAATTACAAAAAAAATGAATAAATGGACAGAACAACTCTTAGAAGAACTTAAAGAACAATATTATGAGCTAACACTAAGAAGGAATAATAACTTTTATTACAGACAACTTACAGGACCAAATGATACCAAAGGAGACTGGGGAATTCTAATTCTAAGAAACTATGAAAACAAAAAAATAATGAGAGAACATATTTATTTGGATGAATACCAAAGAGCATTGAAGCTTTTAAGAACATTAGAAGATCAAAAAATCATAATAACCTCAGAAATAGAATTATTTTCAGAAATGGCTACTAAAACCTTAATAAACACTAAAGATGAAAGACAACAAGAAATAATAGAATGGATCGATAAAATCAAAGAACGAAAAATTACAAAACAAAGAGAAGGATACAAACTAATAGAGAATGCTGAAAAAATAATGATTTATGTAACAAAGCAAAAAAGAAGAGAGGAATATGTTGTTGCAGTATCAATCAAAGAAAATCAAGAAAGCAAATACCCACCTTATGTTGATAAATCAATTAAAAAGAAAGATTATGATCAATTAATAAAATTATTTGATGATGAAACTATAGTGGCAACTTTGAATACCACAGATTATGAAGGATATGAAATACTCATATCAAGAAAAGAGGAAGAAGAAATAGAAGGCCTAAAAGAAGTGAGAAAAATACTAGCTAAAATATTTAAAGAATCAGACTTATTATGGGGAAGGTTGAGAACATCAGGAACCAAACAACTTGTAAATTTAACAGGTTCATACATCAAGATAGGTTTGAAAGATGGAGAACAACAAATCAAGATTACACAAGGAGAAAAAGATTTAATAAACAAATTAACTAAAAATAAACAGGAACAAAATTTTTATGTAAAGACCAAATCCGAATATTGTAATACAGAACTAGACTTAACTCTGTTAAAACTAATAGAAATGATTCTACAAAAACATGAAGTAAAACAGAGGATGGGAGTAACTGAAAGAGAAGAAAAATTAATACAATATTTGGAAAATATAGAAAGGGAAGTTGAATCAACATATACTAAGTAGATCACTTACTAAAAATAGAAAATTGATAATCATAAGAAAAATAGATGGGTGAGATGGTACGAAATATTTTTAGAAAATGACTAAAGAACTTAAAGAACAACAAAGAACTGTAATCCAATATTTTTGGAATATAGGTGTAAAAACAGCTAAAGAGATCCAAAAAAGAACAGAAATTAAACTATCAACTATATATTACAATTTGCAAAAAATAGAAAAAAATGGAAACAATCAACGAAAGAAAAGATCTGGAAGACCAAGGAAAATCGATAAAAAAGGATCAAGAGTCATTGGACAAACTCTAAGAAGAAGTCCGTATGAGACAACTAAGAGTTTGGCAGCCAAATTGCAAGGGCAGGGAATACAAGTATCCCCAAGCACTGTAGGAAGACATCTCCATAAAATGGGATATGAAAACTCTCTCCCTCTAGCAACCCCTATGCTAACAGAAAGGCATAAGCAAGCAAGAATAGAGTGGGCTCAGAGACACCTTGAAGATGATTGGTCACAAACAGTATTTACAGATGAAACTTCATTTCAAATGTTTCGAAATACTGTCACGAGATGGTACAAAGGAGAAAGACCAATTTGCCCTATACCAAAAGAAAGAAAAAAGATCCATACATGGGGAGGAATTTCTGCAAAAGGAAGAACAAGACTCCATTGTTTCACTGAAAAAATGGATGCAGCATTATATGTCAACATCCTAAAAGAACATTTAAAAGAAATAAAAAAGATTAAAGGGAAGGATGGGAGATTCCAACAAGATAACAATCCAAAACACACAAGTAAAATAGCCAAGAAATTTATACAAGAAAAAATCACTGGATGTATAGAATGGCCATCAAATAGCCCAGATTTAAACCCGATAGAAAACATGTGGAACATGGTCAAAAGAAATGTGGAATTAAGAAAACCAAGGAACCTGACAGATTTAGAAAAATTCATGATAGAAGAATGGGAAGAAATACCTGAAGAAAACATAAAAAATTTAGTACTTTCTATGAGAAATAGATGTAAAAAAATTATAGAAAAAAATGGAGAACGAATAAATTATTAAAATATTTTATAATTAAATAAAATGATATTAAGAATCTAATTTGAAATTTTGAAAATAAAATAATAAGAATTGGAATTTATAGAAATTTTAAAATAATTTTAAAATAATTTGAAGATCACTGTATCTAGTATTATATAAAAAATAATGTTTATCTATAAAAAAAAATAAAATAAAATAAATTTAAAAAATTATTATAATAGGTTTTAAATATATATAAAATAAAATAAAATCATTACACTAGGTGCAAATAGTAAAAAATTTGTTTTATTTTGATGTATTTGGAATTAGTATAGCTTGGAACCAACTCTTGCTCCACTTGTCATACATCAAGCCACAGTTGGAAAACAAATGTGCCAATTCTAGTTATGACTTGGAGGCCAACCTGTATATAGTGACTGCAGCATCTTCATGTGACTAGATATCCAATTTCTCTAGGTAGCTAGACACCATTTGAGGCATAATATAGGTTTTGAACTTCCTTTTTCTATATTCTTGGGTGATGCTAAGGAACACAGAGAATGGTTCACATTTGTGAAGCCTGGCATTTAACTCTTCCTAGCAAAGAGAAATGTATGTTATACTGTAAATGTGTTATAAATCTTGTACTGTAAGTCTAAAATTATAATAATAAAACAAAATGTAATAGCCTTTTGCTCCTTCAAAAAATAAAATAAAATAAAATCATTACAGTATATGTCAAAAGATTCAATATTTTTCTGTACATCGTTCCAATAAGGAATAAAGTCATTACAAGTTTGTATAAAGTTTACAGTATGTGTCAAAAGATTCAATATTTTTCTGTACATCGTTCCAATAAGGAATACTTTCCATGGCACCGGGTTTGCTAACAGCTAAACCTGCTGCTACCGTAGCCTCTTTCAGAGCGTTTAAAAATACTTGAGCTGATGTCTCTTCACTCTCTTGCATATATTTCTGTTGATTCCTCGCAATACTCGCAACAAAATAACCGGTGAAAGCATCGCCTGCTCCAGTGGAGTCACGGACAGTTGTTTTAAAGGAAGTCAAAGTATATAACTTATTCATCGGCCTGTACCACGCGATCAAACCTTCGCTTCCTAGTGTGATTATAATACCGACTAGTTGTGGAAATTCAATTGACAATGTTTTTAGTGCTTCCTCAGGTGTGGGATAGAGTCGATCAAGTCCAGTAGAATTGTTCATTTTTAAAATTTGTTCATGAAGTTGCTTTGCTTCCAATTTGTTGAGGATCAGATAGTCTACAAGATCAAATGAAAATATTTCCATTATGTTAACGGAAAGCGGTGCTGGATTAAATGTTACAATAAGCCCTACAAATTGATTAAACTTTTCAATGGCACTTCGGCGGAAATTGTTTATGGTAGCTAGTAAGTTACCTGTATTTATTTACCTTTGTCCTTGCAAAGCTTTAACGTGTTTCCACCTACGGTGCCGATTTCATTTTGGATAACTATCCAATCACCTTTCTTACATTGTCCCAAAACATTTTCCACTTCTTCGACACTCAACGTGTGGTTCGCTCCCGGGAGTAAGGCGATAGCATTGTCGCACGTATCTTGGGAAACTTGAATAAAAGCACGCCCGGTAGGCTTCATGCAATGATCACAAAGAACGAACAAATATTTATCGGAAATTTAATTCATATTTATAAGTTTTGTGCTGACCTACCTGTTGCTCAGATGTGAAAATGTAATCCACGTTAACTCCTTGTTTGGCCATGTATTCCTTGATCCAAATACCATCGTGACCAATTTTACCAACGTGCCAAACCCCAACAGCTGCCTACAAATATATTTTTAAATACAAAGAATGTAATAAGCTGCGTGTAAATGCTCAAGATTTCGCAACCTTAGCCAGGGCCACTGCTTGATTCGCGCCTAGAAGTCATGGAAACAGTACATTCGTTATTTATGTTTACTATTCGTTAATTGCCGTGGCTGAAAATACCTTTTCCACCAGGTCTTTTCGTGTAGTTAGTACTGGTCACCGTTTCACCGCTGAGAACGATATGAGGAACCGTGAAAAACTCATCCTAAGAATTCAACTTTCGTGAAAAAAGATCCACAGAACGTAGAAGTGGCATGAATATACGAACAATGTTGATAGAACCAATGACCAAAATTTTTATTTCGGTCATTTTTATGAGAACGTTTATATTTGGACTCCAATGGGACGCGTATATATTGCGTGGACAATTAGAATTTCTTAGTGAAAATTTGATATAGGCATATAATAAAAAAAAAAAAAAAAGAAAAAAACCCACAAATTTTTTATTAGTAAGCTATTACATTTCAAATTAAAATAATTAAGGCAAAAGAGAACCAAATATGTACATATAAATATTAAACTTTTCAACAAAGATTACATGGTTATGAACCAATCAATATGTAGAAATACTGTAAAATGACAAAGAAAAAGACAGTCAAAAAGTTGGAATAATTAAAAGTTAATTGAGTTAATTAATAGTACTAAAGATCAAAGATTATTGTTTCAATTATATATAGAGTATGCGTCAACCTTTGGTCAACTAGGAATTTTTATGTAATCTTTAAAGCGGAAACCTGGTTTTTCTATGGTAAACGGATGAAGTGAGAGTTGATCCGCTGTTGGTCTATCACATGGCTCTCTTTTGATTGAAAGAATCAACCATCAGAAAGAATAGTAAGCAAATAAAAATATACATTGCCGATGTAAACAATTAACTCTTACATTATGAAGCATTTGTTCAAAAAATCTCGAGCGTCATCTGACATCACAATATCTTCTCTTATTGGCGGTGCCTTTTTTTCAGTTCCGAGCTAATCAATAATAAAAGAATTGGTGATCTGTCGTAATTCAGATGATTCTTATAAATCTAGGGTATATTAATTTACCATATACATGGCAGGAAGATCCTCTAGATCCGACCACGGTCTTTCACCGGCAAACATCTCAAGCACTACGCACCCGAGACTCCTGCGAAAATCGTAGAACATACATACACGGCGTTAACTATCTGAAACGCAATAAACAATTTTAAATTTTATAATTTACCATATATCCATTTTGACACTATAATTATTAGTGAATACTTCTGGTGCCATCCAAAATATTGTACCTTTTAATGACATGGAGTTGTAGTCGTGTCCGTATCCGTGTTCTAACGGTCAAGGTCATTCAAGATAACGAAACAGTAAGATAAATCATGGGAAAAATTAATAGAATTGATAGGAAAATAACTTACCATATTTCTTTGATATTCCGAAATCTGAAATTTTGCAGCAACCCTCTTCATCTACAAGGATATTATCCGCCTTAATATCCTAATAAGTAAATTTATTATAAAATAAATCAATAAAAGCTGACTCCTCCATTGCAGAAAGACCAAGTGAATATTAAAAATTTAAATTCAATTACTCTATGTAGTATACTTTTCTCATGCAGGTATTCAAGGCCTAACAATATTTGACGTGTAAACGACCTTACAACAGGCTCCTTAAATGCGCCGTACATTCTTAACACCGTACCAATGGATCCACCGTTAACATATTCAAGAAATATGTTTGCAGTATCATCATTCTCTTCGTAACCTATTTTTACGAAAAAAAATATGATCGATTTTTTCATTTAATATATATATATATATATATCTATCTAAAGGCGATCGATCGATCAATAATTACCAATATATGTTACAATATGTTCATGATCCAAATCCTTCAAAATTTCCATCTCGTCTTTAAAAGATTTTATCTTGATAGAACAAATGTATGAATATCATATTTAGAAAATTTAGACGTAAATCGATCCTGAACTCACCAGGGCTTTCTGCCTTTCAGTTCTCTGATCCATCTTAGTTCTTGGCAACTTGATTTGCTTTACCGCCAATATTTCAGAAGAAGTCAAATTAATGGCAAGGTAGACCTTACCAAACGACCCTTTACCTATCAGTTCACCTTTAACCCATTTGACAGCTGTTTGGAAATAGATTGGAATAATATACATATATATTTTTATATATTTTTAAACAATGAGATTAGTGAAACTTAAGTATTGGATGGGTAAGAATTCTTGTTGCTTACGTTTTCTCTCGGAACAACCTTCGTCAGATGTAGAATTAGGACAAGGAATTTTTTTTTTACTTGAGGGTATTTCCTCAACAACTCGTCTACCCCAAAGTTTAGTTGTCGGTTTTCTGGTCAGCTTTTTTTCATTAACCTCAGTATTTACTATATTTTGAGTTTTGGTTTTTCTTTCACGACGTTCCCGTTCGCGTGCTTCAGAAGCGGCAACACGAATAGACTTTCCACGCGAAATCTTTGGTTTCTCAGGTACGCTTGCAACTCGCGATGAATCTCCATCCTCTGATACGCTTTGTACACTACCATGAGCCTCTGCAATTGGCATGTCTAGATCGTGACCAGGAAAATATTGTTCAAGATCTTCGTTTATGTCTTCAGCATTTGGACGTTCAATCCAGGACTCTTCCATCTTTTCTCCTTTACGTTGTGACACGGCACGCTTTAAAGATTTCGATTCCCTCAAGCGAGTGGGGAATTTTGAATTTTTACTCTTCGCATCGATTCTCTTAATAGATTGATCAGGATTTTCAAAAGGTGTATCGTGGCTTAAACTAATTGCTGAATCCCCTAGATCTGGTCTCTGCAGCACAGTCGATTGTTTATCGTTCGAACTTTCATCATTTTTCGATGGTTTTGGTTTTTCGGCCCAAATTTCGTCGTCAAAATCATCACGGTCATTAGGTATGCTCGAGGTGGGCTTGGGTTCCTTGGCCCAAATTCCATCATTTAAATCATCTCGGTCATTAGGTATGCTCGAGGTGGGCTTGGGTTCCTTGGCCCAAATTCCATTATCTAGATCATCTTGGTCATTATGTATGCTCGAGGTGGGCTTGGGTTCCTTGGCCCAAATTCCATCATCTAGATCATCTTGGTCATTAGGTATGCTCGAGGTGGGCTTGGGTTCCTTGGCCCAAATTCCATCATCTAAATCATCTTGGTCATTAGGTATGCTCGAGGTGGGCTTGGGTTCCTTGGCCCAAATTCCATCATCAAAATCATCTTGGTCATTAGGTATGCTCGAGGTGGGCTTGGGTTCCTTGGCCCAAATTCCATCATCAAAATCATCTTGGTCATTAGGTATGCTCGAAGTGGGCTTGGGTTCCTTTGCCCAAATTCCATCATCTAAATCATCTTGGTCATTAGGTATACTGGAAGTGAGCTTTGGTTCCTTGGCCCAAACTCCATCATCCAAATCATTGTGATCATTAGATATGCTCGAAGTGGACATGGGTTCATCGGCCCAAATTCCATCATTTGCATCATCATGGTCGTTAGGAATGCTCGAAGTGGGCTTGGGTTCTTCAGCCCAAAACGAAACCTCATTATCGGTCAGGGATGTAATCTTGGGCCATAGAGGCTTCTCTTCGCTTTCCGGTAGGATAACCTGCCCTCTACGAGCAAGGTCAGGTTCAGATATCACTGGGTGCTTAGGTTGATAACGTTGTTCAGGTTCACTTACGACTCGAGCGTTGTAATTAGCAGGGACGGCCTGGTAAAATGGTAAGTTTGGTTGTGATTTACTAAGTTTGCGGGGATAAAGTCCGCTTCCATGAGTTGCGGATAGTAATGCATTGTTCCGACGTCCTGGTTGTAAAGCTGGAGGATGAATTCTTTGTGGCTTTTGAGAAGTATGGTTTCCGCCACGATTCGGTGATCTATATTGATCACCGGATCCCGTTTTTCGGTGTCGTGACGGGTAAGCAGAAATCTGACCACCCGGTTGGTCAATATGCGGTACCGGGAATCTAACATCTTGAAAATCTTTGAATTTGTTGGAGTCCGAAGGTTCTTCCGATATAACACCGACATTCCACCTGTCTTGAATTCTTGGGTTAAATCCACCGGTGAAATTAGGAAACCGACGTTGCTCTTCATTTATAGGCGGATAACTTTGTTCTACCTCTGAATGTGGAGAGTAAGGCGCGGGTCTTCGGTAACGCGAATCTCCGGAATTGAACGAAGGTGAGCTCTCCAATGTATTGCTGGGTGACCTCTTATGAGGTTGCGATGGAATCCCGTAAGATGACTCCCGCGGTCGCATCCGCTTGACCAAAAGCTTTAAGGTTCCGCGGTCGTCCGCACTCATGCACTCTTGTATCAACTCGTCATCACTTATACTAGGACCTGAAGGTGTTACAAGAGAGGATCGATAAACGATTTTTTTTACACAAATATAAAGATGCATCGACAATTCCATATTAGAAGGATCACAGTCTTCTACCTATCTCTTTTTTCCCGATCTCGGTCACATGAAAAGCGTAATTTTCCCTATCGTTATGTTCGATATTGAATTGCGAAAATATTCGATCCTTTATAAGAGTTG